TTAAAAGACTACTTGGTGTTTTAGTGAGCGCTAAAAATAAATACAGTCTTGTTAGCCTTCTGTTGGCAAAGGTAAATATCTACATGATGCAACGGATTAGGAAGGGCTTGCATCATGCTGTACTTTCTTGGCCTTTAAAATATTAAACTTCAGGGAATTCCAGGCAGCTAACCCTGACTGAAAACCATGTCTTACTGTGTTTCATTCAGATCATCTTAATAGGGGATGAGGTACGGTATCATGATTCTTAATGATGCCCTGGGTGTAGAAAGCCCAAGCACAAATCCATCCTAAGTTTCACTGTATTAAAAAACAATATTTTGTATTATTGTTAGTTGCCCAATGAGCCAGAGGTTTAGACTGGAATTGGCACTTATATCCACCTATTGAATTCCTCCCAAGGACATGAGATAGGGCAGGTGCTGATGTTTGATGGTGTTACAGATATTGTTGCAGGATATAAGTTGCTCCAAATAAAGCTACCTTTTGCAATTGATGGTGATTTTTGTCAATATCTATAGTGTTCAAGTCACGCTCCAGCTATTTTGAGATTGCACCCAAGACGCCTGTTACTATTATCTTGGCTTTCTTTTGCCATAGTTGTTCTATTTCTATTTGCAGGTTTTTGCATTTTGTGATTTTCTCTAGATCTTTCTCTTCTGCAGTCTGTGAGAACTGCCATGTCCACTATGCAGACTATTTTGTCTTTTTTTTTTATTGACAGTTGTTAAGTTTAGGGTGTTACGTGGCAGGCGCTTGTCTGCTTGAATTTTAATATTGTTTGTTTCACAGTCAGCCAGATGTTTAAACTGGGTTTGGCATTTTTATCCACCTATCAAGGCCTTCCCAAGGTAGTATTATTTCACTTTTTATGGATTACACACTGGGTAGCTCTTTTTCTGCCAGTGCTATATAGGTAAGATATGAGCAAGCAGTAGCTCTTCCACCCCAGGGAAATGAAACTCGTAATTTTGCTATATTAGAAGGACTGTTGCTCAGTGGTGGATACATGCTTCAATTTTATCTGTGAGATGTCTCCATTTAATCTCTGGTATCTTCATATGGAATGGGAAGTTTTGTCATAAGAGATTCTGTAAAGCTGCTGCCAGTTTGAGATTGCTAATCGGTGTTCTAAAATTGCTAAGGCAAATTTCTAGTGTATGATGAAACCACAAACTTGCATTGTGGCAGATATCAAGTATCCATGTGATATGGAACTATATCCTTGATAAATTTATTGTTCTTATTAACAGACTAACAGAGTTGGAAGGGACCTTGGAGGTCTTCTAGTCCAACCCCCTGCTCCTTAGTTCTAGATTGGATTTCTCCTTGATTAGTTTCCACCCATTGCTTCTTGTTCCATTTTCAGGTGCTTTGGAGAATAGGATAACCCCCTCTTCTTTGTGGCAGCCCCTCAGATATTGGAACACTGCTATCATGTCTCCCCATGTCTTTCTTTTCATTAAACTAGACATGCCCAGTTGCTGCAACCGTTCTTCCTATATTTTAGCCTCTAGTCCTCTAACCATTTTTGTTGTTCTTCTCTGCACTCTTTCTAAAGTCTCGACATCTTTTTTACATCATGGCGACCAAAACTGGATGCACTATTCCAAGTGTGGTCTCGCCAAGATATTATAAAGTGGTACTAAAACTTCACGTGATCTTGATCTTATCCCTCTGTTAATGCAGCCTAGGATTGCATTGGCTTTTTTGGCAGCTGCAGCACACTGCTGGCTCATATTTAAGTGACTGTCCACCAAGACTCCAAGATCCCTCTCACAGTTACTACTATTGAGCCAGGTACCACCTATACTATACCTGTTTGTTTTATCTTGCCTGAATGTAGAACCTTACTTTTTTACCATTGAATTTCATTTTGTTAGCTAGGGCCCAGTGTTCAACTCTGTCAAGGTCCCTCTATATCTTAAGCCTATCTTCTGGAGTGTTGACTATTCCTGATAGCTTGGCGTTATCTGCAAATTTGATGAGCTCCCCTTCTATCCCCTCATATAAATTATTGATGAAGATGTTGAAGAGTTCTGGGCCTAAGACAGTCTTGGAGTACTCTGCTCTATACTTTCCTTCATGTAGACGCAGTTCCATTAAGGATTACATGTTGAGTGTGGTTGGTCAGCCAGTTACGAATCCATCTGGTGGTGATACTGTCTAACCCACATTTTCCTATCTTATCAAATAGTAGGTTGTGGTCTATTTTATTAAATGCCTATCTGAAGGCCAAGTAAATTAATATCCACAGCATTTTTCTGGTCCAGTAATTTTGTCACTTTGTCAAACAATGCAATAGATTTGTCTGGCATGATCTGTTTTTTGACAAACCCATGTTGGCTTCTGGTTATGACTTTCTTTGCCTCCAGATGTTCGCACATTTGTTGCTTGATTTTCCAGAATCTTCCCAAGTACTGATGTCAGGTTGATAGGTCTGTAATTTCCTGGATCCATTTTTTTTTCTTTTTTGAAAATGGGAACTACATCAGCCCTTTTCCAGTTATTTTATTATTATTTATAAGACTATCATAGTCTTATAAATAATAGATGTTGGTTCTTTTTCCTTTAGCAGCAATATATATGTGTATGTATATATTTATTAAATTTATACCCCATCTGTTTCCCTGATAAGGCACATGTTATCAAAATACCCTACACTTCCTATTATAGCCCTCTTCCATATCCTTCAATAGCATAGACCATGTTTTTGTAGGAAGCGGTAAAGTACAAAGGTCAATCTTCACATCTCATTTTTTGTTAGTTTTATGTTGATAATATGAAGTTGGATTTTATTCAGATTCTTCAAGAGCTTGTCTCCAAGGTTTTTTTTTGGGGGGGGGGGGGGGGGTTAGTTCTTACACTAAAGCAAAGTACACTACACTAAAGTCGAGGGACGCGGTGGCTCAGTGGCTAAGACGCTGAGCTTGTCGATCAGAAAGGTCGGCAGCTCGATGGTTCGAATCCCTAGCACTGTGTAACAGAGTGAGCTCCCATTACCTGTCCCAGGTTCTGCCAACCTAGCAGTTCGAAAGCATGTGAAAATGCAAGTAGAAAAATAGGGACCACTTTGGTGGGAAGGTAACAGTGTTCCATGCACCTTTGGCATTTAGTCATGCCGGCCACATGACCATGGATACGTCTTTGGACAGCGCTGGCTCTTCGGCTTTGTAATGAAGATGAGCACCGCCCCCTAGAGCCGGGAACAAAAATAGCATATATGTGTGAGGGGAACCTTTACCTTTACACTAAAGCAAAGTTTCTAAAAAACAGTCTGTCAAATACTGGTAAGTACTATCAACCCCAAAATATAATGCCAGAATAAGCAAGTTGTTGATACCTCTCATAAGTGCTATGTTCTAGAGATATATGGAGGATGCATTTTTTTTCCTTTGAATTTTCATGAGTTTCTAAGTCAGATAGTCTGTGGATATCTCCTGTAATTAAAATCTGAAAAGGGAGGAAAAGCATCTCTTTCAAGATCAAAAAAGGGAACAGTTCAGTGTACTGAAACAATATATTTGATGTTCAATTTATATTTGCACAACAGTGTTGCAGCTGTATTTTTTTTCCTCCGGTGCAGTTTGCTTTCAGCATCAAAAGATAAGTTCTTAAACACTTTTCTGTTTAATCTTTCAAAATGACCTCTTAGTTTTTAATACTTCCGGCTAGAGTATATTTGAAGTACAATTTTGCAAAGCAGTTTCTCCATTTCTGTATCAATCACTGACAAATCATGTTACTGGATTCCTCACTTGGCTCAACTTTCTTCCCCATTGCTGAGGAAAGAAAAACCAGTTTTTTTAAAGCCTTCATTAATTTGTTATCTTTATTCCAGGATAAATGGTGTACTTTATAGAATATAAATCTTCTTAAACTTCAAGAGTAGGCAGAAGATATATTTATATTTGCTATTGTGCTTTGGATGATGTTTTGGTATACTTTGGTATAACATATACTTTGGTATATGTTCTGAAATAGCTTTTTCTCAATTGATATGGAAATGAATGATTTAACTTGAATATCTGAATAAGTTTGATTTTCTAAATAAGATCAATTTTCCAAATTAAAAAAAAAGATTATTTGAATCAGATTTTGCTTGATTTACAGGAGTCTAATGGTTCATTTATAATTAACTCTAATTTTCTTCTCTCACTCGAATGTCATTTCCAGTATTTTCAAATATTCTCTGCATTTTTTACAAATACATAATTGTAATGTTTATTTGGTCAGCGATCAGCCAAAATACAACTATAAAGTTTCCCCAAAGTAATTAAAACCTTTCCCCTTAAATGACATGTCACTATCTCAGCTCTGGGAATTTTATCAAGTTTTGAGACTGGGTGCTAAGCATTCCTTGTACTTTATATACAAGTTTAGAGTTTGGAAAGGAAATTGTATTTGATTTGGAAAAAGCTTAGTCTTCTGTGTTCCCCAAATATTCCATAGATTTCTTTCTCAGTGTTGCATGTAAGATTCCTTCATAGATTAATACCTCACCTATCTCATTTTTATGTGTTCAGGAAATTGTGGAAATTTCTGTAGAATTGTTCTAGAATTGCTCTAGAATTGCTGTATAGGTGAATAATAGAAGTATGCACATATGCCTCTATCCTTATGTGATTCTGTTTTATAAAAATGCTTTAAAAAATAAGTCTGTCCAAATTTCCTTATATTACAGTATCTCACATTATTTGCCCAACAGACAGTACTGATTCTACTAACTTTTAGAAATAGCTATGTCAATCTTAGCCTGAATCAAGTCTAATAAATAATAGTAATACTGTATCAAAGCTGTTCCTTTTTCAAAATGGCAGTATTAACTGAGATGCATGAAGAATTGCATTTTAGGAGCAATCACTTCATAATCACTTGAAAAACTTTCTATGTCTACTTTAGTTCCTAGGTGACTGGAATTGTCATTCTTAAACTTAGACGTGTTCTGCTGCTTTCAAGTCTGTTGGATCTTCTAATTGTAACCTATTTTTCAATTCAAGGTACAAGGGTAACATGTGATGAATCACAATTTCAATGTCACAATGGCCGCTGCATAACCCTGGTGTGGCGATGTGATGGGGATGAAGACTGCTCTGATGGCAGTGATGAGCTAGCATGTGGTAAGTAGTAGGGTTTGGTTTTTTTATATGTCTTTGAGTCATCTTAACTCTGATGACTTCCTGGACGAGTCCCTACAGTTTTCTTGGCAAGGTTTTCCAGAAGTGTGTTTGCCATTTCCTCCTTCCTAGGGCTGAGAGAGAGAGTGACTGACCCAAGGTCACTCAGCTGGCTTTGTGCCTGAGGTGGGACTATGACTCACATTCTACTGGTCTCTGGCCTGATGCCTTAATCACTATGCTAAACTGGCTCAACCCTACTAGTAAGATATTCTTATAAATAGTTCAGCATGGCTCTGACATCCAGCCAGAAAGAATATCAATTACAATAGCAGTTCAAGCTTTAAGAAGGGTTATCAAAGCATCTAACCATGTAAAGCAACGAAGAGAATGGTAGCCATAATCTGAATAGCTTAGGATAGGAGTGCTAGTTATATCAAGAGTTTCATATTGACCTTGGTATTGAAGCCCACATGCAAAACTGAGCTTCTTGCAAGGCCATTTCTTTGACCTGAGTTGGACAGAAAGAGCAGACATCTTTAAAAATCTACTCCCGATTGCTACAAAAACTTATTTGCTTCTCAGATCTCAGATCCAATTAAAAAAGGTTCTGTGTTGGTGAGTTGAGGCTAACTTGCAGCTGGAAATGCAGGATACTGAAAGTGTATGATTTCCTTCTCATTGTAGATGTAGAAGAATTGAACATCTCCTTTTTAAAAAGGGTCATAGATACTCCTATTCTGCACAGTTGCTTTTCTATGATGCTGTTAGACTCTTGTTATAATATTACCCAATATCTAGCATACACAATTGTAGCTGTGTTATCTAGGCATTGTAGGAGGATAATTATATTGGTCTATAGGAGCTAAACACTAGAGTTTGACAATGCCTTTTCCAACTAATAAGTAATATTTAAAGGTATAACCTTTAATGAGCTGTTCTGTGTGATTAAAAGAGTTTAACAGCAATATTGAGTGAAAATTTACTGTACTCATAGGCATCAAAGGGTTCAGGCTTATCGCTAAAAGTCTCAACAAATAATGGATAAATTGTTAACTGAATAGGCACTTATATTCTGTCATATGTTTATTTTTATCCTGCCTTTATTATTATTTTTTACAAATAACTTCAAGACAGTAAATATAAACAACATAACCTTTCTCCTGTTTTTCCCACAATAGTCCTGTGAGGTGGGTTGGGCTGAAATAAGAGTGGCTGGTCCAAAGTCACCTAGCTGGCTTTTATGACTATGGCAGGACTAGAACTCACAATTTCCCAGTGTCTAGCCTGGTGCCTTAACCACTAGACCAAACCAGTTCTCATATGTAATCTGTATCTTCATAACTAATCTGTGCTCCGTATCTCACCTCAATTTAAGTCTTACATCAGCCTAGCTATTCTGTTAATCTGATGACGTAAATTTTACCTCATGAAAGTAAAAAAAGGTGTTATCAGACTCCTGTGTAGTAACTAGGATAAAATCAGCTATGTGACTTTCTGAGAAATGAAACTATCCTATCAATTAATTTAAAAGAAAAACCTGACTCTTGCTTGTTTTCAGACTCCTGGATCTGCTATGCTCTCAAATAGGCGTGAGGCCTTGAATAGTTCTGGAAGGGAAAATTTGAAATAACTTCTAAGCAGAGCACTTGAAACTGTGTAGCAGAGTCCTTACTGTATTTTAGGCAAATTTAACAAAATATTACTCTTACACAGTGAAGAAGACATGTTCTGCAACAGATTTTGTTTGCCACAATGGGCAGTGTATACCAAACAGGTGGCAGTGTGATGGAGACCCTGACTGTGAAGATGGCTCCGATGAAGGCTCTGAGATTTGCTGTGAGTAGGCTGACATCTGTGCTGCAGGTCAACTGCACCAACTTCCCTTTTAAAGAGAACTAAACTGCCTATGCATCAATACATAATTCATCTGTATGAAGGAGGCCGTCAGTAAAGATCTATTGTTGTTAGATTTATGTCCCTCCTTTCTTTCAGAATTCAAATGCTCCTCTAAAATTTTTCACCCCTATAACATTCCTCAGATTGAGCTGGCCCACAGATAGCAGATAGGTAGGGCAGAAATAATTTCAGGTTCAAACTTCTGTGGCATCGTTCAGTCAAAATACCTTTCAATTGAAAGTACAGCTTCACCATTCTAATGTTCTTTGGATTACTTGGTTATGCAAATTTTCTTTGTTTATTTCACTATCAAACTTAGAGACTACCCATCTCATTCACAGAATTGGAAGGGACCTGGCTGAAAATAGTATTTGAGAACTTTGAACTTAATGGGAGAGTCCCGTTAAGAATCGTAATACGATACTTTGTTTTATGATAGAGAGAAAAACAACCATTAAATATGATTATATATAAACCTTAATAACCTAATAAACTGACAGATCCTGAAGAGAATCTCTACTTGGTATAATTAGTTCTGATAGCGTATTATTTTAAATGTCTATATAGAGCATCACACATTTCAAATAGATCCATACAATATTGTATTAACCGTAGAGATTATCCCAAAGTATCCTGAAGTAGTTAGTATAATGCTATATGGCTTATTTGCCTCTGGGTGGGCAATTCCTGCACTTCTGTAGCAGATAATAAGCACAGCATTGTGTAGCTTTGCTTTCATGCTTAAAACTATAAAGAAGTTGCAAACACCACCATGTAAATCAGGGGTCTCCAACCTTGGCAACTTTAAGCCTGGAGGACTTCAACTCCCAGAATTCCCCAGCCAGTTGAAGTCCTCCAGGCTTAAAGTTGCCACGGTTGGAGACCCCTGATCTAAATGAAGGAGTGGAAACCTTTTGGGGATCGAAGGTAACATTTAATCCTTTTTGAGGTAGAATAATAGAACCAAATGTGTGGGGATGGAATATACAAATGTTGAGGTAAATTTGGGGACTCTCCTAAATATTTTAGGTATATTTTACAGGTATGTTTGGCCCCAGAATTGTGAGACGCTGTTGCAACTTCCAAACAGTTGTGGCAGATGGGCCTCTAGGGAGTTTGAGAAAAGGGTTTGTGGCTCTGCATATATAGGTCACCCTTGGTTTGAATAAATGCCCTGACTCCTCAGACTTAACTGTCTTCAAAAAGTATCTAAGCAAACTCTTATGCACTTCTGAATAGATAGAAGAAAATGTACGATAGGTGAAATCAGCTGTGGTCCTCTATCAACTCAATGCATTCCTGTATCCTGGAAATGTGATGGAGAAACTGACTGTGGTGATGGTACAGATGAAGAAGGCTGTGGTAAGCCATAGTTATGGGGGATGAAAGGGCTGGTTTAGAAAGTGTTTGGTTATACTAATAGATCCTGAACAGAGATATTATTCCCCCCCCCCCCCTTTTTAGCTCCTGTAAGTCCTAAAAGTAAACATCGCTTGAGTCATTATTAACTCTTGAACTAGTCCCTGCAGTTTACTTGGCAAGATTTCAGAAGCTGTTTGTCACTGCCTGCTTCCTAGGGCTGAAAGAGAATGACTGGCTCACAGTCACCCAACTAGTTCTGTGCTTAAGGCAGTGGGACTAGAACTCAGTCTCTCAGTTCTTAGCCTCCTGCCTTAACCATTACACTCAACCAAGCTAAAAGTGTAACTAGAGCTTGCCAAATTCCCATTAATGTTTTGAGGAACTGTGACACCCTAAGGAGATATGACATTAATATTAATGCCTGAGGACGTTAGCTTAAATATTACGTAAAAAATGGGCCTTCTATATGAGGCTTAAACCACTTGAACGAAAACTAAAACACAATAGTATATCCATTATAAATAGTTGTTCTTTCAAAATGCTATTTTATAGTAGGCTAGGCTGTCCTAAAAACAGACATTTTCACTGTACAGGACAGATAGAACAAAAATTATGCAGTTTCATCAGTCATGAAGTTTCTGTCTTGCATACAGTTCTTCCAGTATCTAGTAGCTTGATCCTTGATAGGCCCTGATTGCTGAAATGTTAGAATGCTACATTAAACGGCAAGCTTGGGCACAGACCTAGAAATTAATCTCACCAGAACAGCAATATTCTGTTTTACGTTTCTTCCCGGCTTCCCAAGAAGCAGCGCTGTTTGCTAAATCAATTTATTTCGACTGTTCCTTAGCCAACATAACATGCAACCCTGAAGAATTCACATGTGCTAATGGGCAGTGCATCTCAAAATACTTTGCCTGCAACGGGCAGGAGGACTGCAGTGATGGGACCGATGAGGAAGGCTGTGCCACTTCTACCTGTGGAGCAGGGGACTTCCAGTGCACAAGCGAAAGTGACATCTGCATCCCAATTAACTGGGTGTGCGATGGGGAAGCCGACTGCACTGACCGGTCAGACGAATCTCCGGAACAGTGTGGCCATCAGCCTATCCAAACTGCGAAGTGCGGGGAGAGTGAAATGCTTTGCGATTCGGGGGATGAATGTTTTCACACGAAATGGCGCTGCGATGGTGATACGGACTGTAAGGATGGAAGTGATGAAATCAATTGCCGTAAGTAAGAAGCTGCCACTTGGCATCAGAGGTTTTATTAGAAATCAAAATGATTTTTTTTTAATTAGACTTGTTTCCCACTTTTCTTTCAGAAGCTTAAGGCAAAGTACATAGCCTCTTTTTTTTACCCACAACAATCTCAGTTGGGTTGGGACAGTAATTTGTTTAAAGATTACGACTAAGGACTTTCCAGCCAGATCCACACTTTAGGCAGTGCTCACTATTTTCATCCTAAAACAGAATTTAAGCAAAAAAGTAAATAGTGACAGAATCATAAGGCTCTGAAGAAAAATGTTATTGCTTCCATACATTGACTTTGAGACGTACACACATTTAAAATGTCTCTCTTGTTGTGGTACAGAATGGATTTCTACAGAGAATCTAAATAACCAAACTAAATAACCTATTGGGATAAAAAATTCCAATGGATCCACAAAGTGTTATGCTTTGAATGAATTAATTTATCATAGTTTTCAGAAGTCTTTGTAAGTATCACTGACTGTATTTTAATTTTCCAGAGTTTTGTGATAATAAACCTAATAGTTAATACCAGGAATTGAGTAAGTTTGTATGTAAAATTTCTCTAAGAAAATTAATTTTAAGAAAAGTTCCTTTCTTAGTAAATGAAGTAGAGATACACTATTCAAATTTTCTTAATGGTTTGAATTGGAGTCATAGATATTTTATGAAGGAATGACCAAACCTGGCTTCTTTGGAAGTCAGTTGGTATTGATAATCATTCTTTTTGCAAAATATATTTAGGTTTCCACATATTGTTCAGTCTCTTAATTCCACAAAATTAATTCTGTTCCCATTGTGTGTAGTGAATATCCTTGTCCTCAAAATTCAAGTCCTTGGAAAAAGGAGATAAAAAGCCAGAAATTGGTGCTTATACCATTTGCAAGATTCTGCAGAATGATAGAGCACTTTTAAATGTGTACTTGAGATAATAGATATCAATTTCTTAACTGTCAGATGTAAATGCCACTCTAATCCTAAAGAATCCCATATTAGCACATAGAAGACCTTTAATTTTGTAATGAATTGTTTCAGTTAAAACTATTGGCATGAATAGCTGATTATCAATACTTATTTGATAGAAGTGTGGTCCTTAAATGGTATCTCCTCTATTCAGCTTCTCGGACCTGCAGACCCGACCAATTCAGATGTGAGGATGGCAACTGTATTCATGGAACCAGACAGTGTAATGGTGTAAGAGATTGCGTGGATGGGACTGATGAAGTGAACTGCCATGTTGGTAAGCAATGAGAACTTTTAAGAGTTTGCAGGTGTCAGTATGTAACCTGAATATGTAGGAGCCATGTTCCTTATGCTATGTTCTAGAGAATCTTGTGGTAATTTCCATGAGGGATTTCTTCAGTTGATTATATTTGCTCCCTGGACTTTTGCTCCTTTGAGACTTTTATATTACTGCAGCTCAGCGTTACAACTTTCCTGATTTATCATAAATTAGTATTGATTCCCTGAAATGGATAATTGAGTTTTGCCGCAAGGAGACACTAAGTTGGGCATAGAGCTATTTATTTAATTGTGGCTTTTCTTTCCATCCTCCAGTTAATCAGTGCACTGGACCTGGAAAATTCTTGTGTGCTAGTGGTGAGTGCATAGATTTCAACAAAGTGTGCAACCAGAAACAGGATTGCAGGGACTGGAGTGATGAGCCTCTCAACGAATGCAGTAAGTTGTAGTTAAGAAAGCCAACTCTAAGTAAAAATGTTTTCATCTGGTTCTAATGAAACAATTTCTCAACTCAAGGAATAATGCAGCACCTATTGTAATAGGCCACATTCCAATCCGGAAGCTCAATAGTTTGCACACAGTTGTACAGTTTTCCCTCTTCGAAAAATTTGCATCATTGATGCTTCCAAATAAATAACAACTTCAATGGTATTACTACTACTTCTCCTTTCCAGATGTAAACGAATGTTTGGTGAACAATGGAGGCTGCTCTCATATCTGCAGAGATCTGGTTTTAAGTTACGAATGTGATTGTCCAGCAGGCTTTGAGTTGATAGACAGAAAAACATGTGGAGGTAAAGATCTTAAAAAAGAAAACATTTCTGAAGTTACCCTTTGTTCATATTATGTTGCAGCTATGAGTATCTTTTTTCCCCCCTAGACATTGATGAATGCCAGAATCCAGGTATCTGCAGTCAGATTTGCGTCAATACCAAACTGGGCTATAAATGTGAATGTAGTCGGGGCTACCGAATGGATCCACAAACAGGAGTATGCAAAGCAATTGGTAAGTAGTTTGAAACAAGTACCCAACTCAAATTCTGTCATAGGGTCTTGGACGGCACGGCCTTCTTAACACTTCTTAGATTGATAAGATTCTGATCAAATAGGATTGTATGCCCAATCCAGATCTGTGGAAACAACATATCCAGAATTGCCAGCTAGCATGGTTAGACCTGAGAATCCCATCCAGGCTAACATGTTAAACTTGCATTGCTGACACTCTTTGGAGCATTATCAGCTGGCATTTGGACTCTTGAATACGTGGTTCCAGTTAAGGTGGCTGAACACATGGATGGCTAAGCTGACCCCTGCATAAGGCTTGCAACTTGCTTTCCAGAGCTTTGGGGAAGAGCTGTTTCTTCAGCAACTTGCTGTAGGTTTTTATGCCTAGTAAATTTTTATACAAATTTACTCTTGCAGGAGGAGAACCAAGTCTGCTTTTTACAAATCGTTGGAACATCAGGCAGTTTGCTCTCGAAAGGCAGGACTACACCCAGCTCATAGGAGACTTAAGAAATGTGGTTGCTCTGGATGCCGACATGGCTGAGCATAAAATCTTTTGGGCTGACGTTGGACCAAATGCAATCTTCAGGTAAACCGACTATGTAAGCTCTTTCTGTGAGAGGGTAAAAACTTGTCATATCTTAAAAACCAATCTGTTGGTGTCAGTTCTTTATGATAAAAATGCTTCTGATTCATGGTTAACCTACAGCCTTCTTGCTTCCCTTGGGGTAAGTAACTTGCTACTGAAATTTAGTAACATGTTTTCAATCTTTGCAGCACAATTGTTCTTTTTAAAAGGGAATAATGTACACTAAAGTAAGCATATCAAACTTTCAATAGCTTAAAGCACCTATTTTGAATAGAGGGAGTAAGTCAAACCTCCCTTCCCAATTTAAAAAGGATTAAAGAAATTGACCCTTCCACCTTCACTGCTTTGCCTCGGATTACCTTTCTTAATTCAGTCTCTAAACAAAAACGAATTCCTGCCACTCTTTACGGCTTTTCTTAGAGACACTGTACAGCATCTGACCTGCACTCTAGGTCTGAAGTGGGATATGTGACTCATTTATAGCTATAATTTTTATAGGTCCAAGCAGAGAGGGTAACATTTTGGTTTCTTCTTGGCAGTGGAGTGAAGGCAGCTGCTACTGGTGGGACAGGATCTAAATAGTTCTGGCTCTTAGCTGCTAGCAGTCTGGGTTAATCTAAATCAGGCATGTTCAGCCTTGCAAGGAGAACCTTTCTCGTAAAATCTTGCTTTGTACCCAGCTTCCAAATGTCGTTTGCATTAACCAGCCATCATTAAAATAAAAATTAACAATATGTCTTGTTTCCACTGCTGTTATGTTTGATGAGCTCTTTACGCTGATCTAGGAGAATTCTAGTTGTACTAATTGGCTAAGTAAACTTTGAAAGCACCATAGAAGCTCTGGGCCAACTATATTCCTGACAGATTTTATCCGAAAAAGCCTTGTTTGAACAGAACTATCTGAATTTTGTAGGAAGCCATTTTGGTGGCAAAAAAATTAAAAAGGTAGTAAAAAATTGAACAGTAGCTGAAGCTAAACTTCCAAGCAAGATCTAGGATTAACTTAGAACCAGACATGACCTGTTCTTTGTGCCTTTGCCATATGCTTAAATATAGGATGTTGCATTCCCTGGTGACTGCATTTAATGCAATGTTTCTCCCTAGTGCCTCAATTACTTCTAGTAACAAACCAGTGCGACATCGCCGGATTGTAGACAATGTACCAAGTCCTGGAGGAATCTCTGTAGATTGGATTTACAAGAACATCTATTGGACTGATTCCTCCCTGAAGTCCATTTTGGTGGCCAGCCTTGATGGCATTAAAAGGAAAGTCTTACTTAACACTGACTTAAGGGAGCCAGCGTGTATAGCTGTGGATCCACTTTCTGGGTAAGCCCATATTTACATACTTGATATGAAAGTATTTGAGCACTAATTCTGAGAATCTTTAAGCCTCTGCACACAGATATGCATCCTCTTGAAATTAAATTCCGTCCGGGATTTCTATGAGTCTAGAATCACATAATTTGAGGAGTGATACTGGAGGGTCTTCTGGGGAAGGGCCCATGCAGCTCAGAAGAAATCCTAAAGTGATTGTAATGTTACCTCAGAATCTCTTTCACAGCTGTGCTAACACCAGCAGCAATGTTGACAAAGACATAGCAGGAGGTGGCATAGCAAGAATTGCTAGTTTGTAATATTAGATACTTGCCAGTGATATCTACACATCTTACTTGAGTGTCTCTATTAATAGCTGTTGAGAAAACTCTGTGTTTCTTCTGAACATAGAACAACGCACCGACACAATAGAAAGCCTTAAGAAAAGTGAATTTTGGCATTCAGATTCTATCGGTGATATATGAGCTGTAAGGACAAATACTATTTTGGGGAGGGGGATTCTAATATTCTGGCAAGGAAGAATTTAAGGTCGAAAGTTAAGGCTCAGTTGAAGAAGAAACATGTTGGAAAGGAGACAGTAGAAATAAAATAACTGTCTCACAAGAGTAGACTGATGACAGCTCTTACCTGGTTTCTCTTACAGCTTCATGTATTGGTCTGATTGGGGTGAACCAGCCAAAATTGAGAAAGCAGGGATGAATGGACTTGACAGGCAGCAACTTGTGACAACAGATATTGAAAGGCCCAATGGGATTGCACTAGGTATATTAATGTTATTCATACCACATTGGGATTCCTTTCTTAAGGAATCCTTGGAATTACTGGTTAAATTAGACTAGTATATTAAGGGTTGATGGACTTTCTGTAATGAAATACCATGTTAAAATGTTCTCTTTCTTTCCCACTCAAAATATCATTAATATCTAGCTTGGTGGTATTGACCTACCTGTATCAGAGGTGGTATTCAGCAGGTTCTGACCAGTTCTGGTAGCGGAAATTTTGAGTAGTTCAGAGAACTGGCAAATACCTCCTCTGACTGGAGATTTTACAGTATCCTTCCCTGCCACACCCCCAAGCCACGCCCACAGAACCAGTAGTAAAAAAAATTGAATCCCACCACTGGCCTGTATGTTGGCTTCTGAATGGCCATGGCCATCAGCTTCTGGCCGTGATAAGAATTCTTTCAATCACTGTTTGTCATGGCTTTTATTTACCCATTGTGTAGTCAAGGATGCTTCTTTATAGCTTCCCTAGACCTCTAGGTTTATAGAGAATTGAAGTAAATAGGGAAGTTCTTGTTAAATCATGGCTCTTCTGGCCTAATTACTGACATGTGTTTTTGTTTAGATCGTGTTAAAAATCGTGTTTACTGGGTTGACTCCAAACTGCATAAGCTTTCCAGCGTGGATATAAATGGGCAAGACCGCAGGATTATATTCACATCCAATGAATTTCTTGCTCATCCTCTTAGTTTGACAATATTTGAGGTAAGAATCAGCATTTGCAGACATGTATTTTGAGAAGTTACAGGATCATATGAAAGGGGTAATTTACGAGTCAGCTGCCTCTAGTTCTTTTGAGGGATGGAGAAATTGCATAGTTAAAATTTAATAGACCAGAGGTCTCCAAACTTGGCAACTTTAAGACTTGTGGACTTCAACTCCCAGAATTCCTCAACCAGTTTTGCTAAGGAATTCTGGGAGTTGAAGTCCACATGCAAAATCCTGGCATCATAATCTTACTTTTTTTTTTCACATAAGGAAAATAAGTTGGAGAAGCTAGACTTGGTATAGCTATTTTTCTTGAAAAAAACATGCACCCCAAAAAATAGCCGCCTGTCCTGTCTCTTTTTATGATATTACTGCTATATTTCCTACAACCTTTAGGGTTGGTCTGGGTGGGGCAGGAAATGACATATGGGAGATAAAGTATGCCCCAGGTTACAAAAAGGTAGCAAATGTATAAGTTGCTGGAGGAAGAAAGACGAGTTCATTTGGAAGGGTTTTTTTTTTTTTAACCTATAACTTGTAGTGATGAAATGCATGCTCTTTAGTGTACATTCCACTACAAAAATATGAGGAAGTTAAAAAAATAATCCTTCAGTTGAAATAATCACTCTTTTCTTCTTAGGACACGGTTTACTGGACAGACTGGGAAAACGAAGCCGTGTACAGCGCCAACAAATTTACAGGATCTGAGCTGCAAACAGTAGTAAACAATCTCTATGATGCTCGAGACATCATTGTGTATCATGAACTTGTTCAGCAGTCAGGTAATAGCGGGTGTGGGAGTAAATTTCCAAGCAAAAACTCTTTTTGAGTTCTCAAGTACAGATGGGAGGAAAACACAGTACAGGTAGCCCTCCACTTAACGACCATAGCTGAGCCTGGAATCATGGTTGTAAATCATGTCTGTCATTAGGTGGCTCACCAGTGAGTTCTCTGATTTTATGACTTTTTTATGGTGATCATAAAGCAAATGCCACAGTTTTTAAATGAATCCATTGTCTTCAATGGATATTTTTTGCTAGAAACCAGAAATAAATATATTTATATATTTATATATATATTTATATATATACTTATATATATACTTATATATATGTGTGTGTGTGTTAAGTTTTCGCGGGTACTTACATGTATGGTATTCAGCTTTGTTGGGGTATTTTCCCACGTCATTGTAGTTGTGCTTTTAAAGTTGTAACAACGTTTCGGCAGAATCTCATCTGCCATCATCAGGCTTCTGTATTGTGTTAGTCTGTCATTATAGTTATGCTAAAGCGAAAACTCAAGAAATATATATATATATATATATATATATATATATATACATACATACATACATACATACATACATACATACATACACATATACATATACACATACATATACACATACATACATACATACACACACACACACACACACACAAATATATATATATATATAAATATATATAAATCAAGGTCACATGACTGCAGGATACTGCAAACAGCCGTAAAAGTGATCACATGACTGAGGGTGGCCATTAGAAGATCATAAGCAGCCCTGGGAGATCTGTTGTAACTTTGGTTGCTAAGCAACCAGTCATAAGTCAAGGATGGCCTGTATTGTTTAGGCCTCCCTGAGGAGCAAAATGTTTGGATGATTTCAACATTTCAAAGTTCCTTGCAAATGTCCCTTAATATTAGAAATAGAAATACTGCCTTTAGGTGGGCAACTTTGGCAACTTGAAGTCCATAGGTCACAAATTTGCCTTAGTTGCCCCCTCCTGCTTTACAACATAAAGATTGGGTAACTCATCTTGAGCACTGAGTGTCCTGGAAGGGGGTAGGGGGTAGGGCATTCCTGTAGTGGCTTCATAGCCTGAAAGCCAAGTAAGACGTAATTGTTTCAAATAGTAAGTAGGTCGCAGCCTTTGCTGCTTTGTTAGAAATTGTAGTCTTCCATCCTATGTTTAAAACTCTTCCACCCACAGGGAAAAACTGGTGCGAAGATGAGAACAAGACAAATGGAGGCTGTGAATACCTTTGCCTGCCTGCACCCCAGATAAATAGTCGTTCCCCAAAGTATGCCTGCATGTGTCCCGATGGCGATGCCCTGCAAGACAATGGCTTGAAATGCAAAGGTATAGTCTGTGTCTCTCTTTGTTGTTGTGCTGAAAGCGCTTTCGTCCTGCCATCATGCATACAACTCTTGCTAAAGTATTAAGTTTGGCCATTAGACAGCATCCCGCCTGCCTGGCTTCTGCATTTCATGGATACTGCATGCTGTGTAGAACATTAAATCTGAACATCAGCCTGATTTAATTATCAGCCATGATGTACTTGGGTACAAGCCATAAAAAGCTGCTTCTCTGCCAGGGGCTCATAAGTTCCTTGCCTCAAACTCTAATTGGCAATCATATAATTGTAATCTATAAAGAGGCAAGATGTTTTGAATAATCAAATTCTATGGAAATACTAATCCAGGGTCTTGGATTGCACAATTGCAGATGGCATTCTGATTTGAATATAAAAGCACAATAATATGCAAGTCAGCTATGGCACGCTAAAGAACACTGTGTTTTGTGTGCTGGTGGTGATAGATTTGCAGCTTGATTCAAACAAATTTATGGCAACCCTTGAATGAGTAGGTCTTTCCATTCTGTTGAATTCAAACTGCAATCAATCCTTGCTTTGTTTTCTGCAATGATTCTGCTTACCGAACTGGCTAAGAAGTGATTCCTAGCATTATTATACCTGACAATAATGAAATCCTTGCCCGTTGGCTACTTCTTCATAGCACAATAAATCTTTAACACCTTTCAGAGCCAGATTAACTAAGCCTGCATGCTCATGCTCATCTGCTGTGGGTATTCCACTTCACCCCAAAAATGGGGAAAACAATGAAAAAGAGCCAATGCAGAGGTTCAAAGTTACCGATCTGTAATTTCAGGTACAGGAACTGCTGTGGCTTTCACTGAGACAAAAGAGAGCAGCAGAACAGACAAACCACCTGGACCACTTTCTGGAGGTATTGGTCCTGATCCAAGGCAGCTCAAAAGAATTGGTAGTAAAGCAGGATAAATTAAGCCAAACCTCGGAAGCAAGAATGAGCAACTGTCTTGCTGGGATTATTTCAAGGAATGTGGAGCTAGACTGACTTGGCTTGATTTGGCAAACCATTTAAGTTCTTAAAAGAATACCTAGCAAAACTTTTGGTAAAGTTGTACCTTAAGCCTTGTTCGCAGCGTTCTTCACTGCGTAGGTAAAACATTCAAAGCAGCTAGTTAAAAGATACTGTTTTAGCAATCTAAAAGAAACAAAAAGCAGGAGGAAAAAAAATTAAGTTCCAGACTCCTGCAGAAAAAGCCCCCGAGTTAGAATCAACAGTCTTTTAAATAAAGCACACCAACTTGAATAAGAAGTTTGAATACCTTGGAAGCAAAGTCACATCTAGTTAGACTTCCTGCAGCCATGGGATGTGGAGCAATGCTTGGCTAGATCTTTGTAAGGAGTTGAACAGCCTAAGTACTTGATCCTTCAGATTTAAAAGCAAGACCCAACTTAAACTCTGAAACAAATGAGCGATTAAGCTGCTGAATTACCTGTAGTCAGTTCAGGGAGAGCTGCTAGGATTCTTCAAGTCATGAGCACTCCCAAGTTCTGATTATCCAAAAACAAGGCTGGGTCCAAAAGTAATCCCAGGGTGCAACCCTAAGATGATCCTTCAGTCATGTCAAAGGCTCATTACTTACTGCTGAGACTAGAATCTCTGATTTCATCTTGTCTGGGTTTTCAGTTCTTTTAACAGTTTTTGTGGATGCTCATTGGGTGGAGCTTAGCTGTCCTGCAATGCCCGTCCATCTCTGTTGGTCTGTTGGTCCAATCTGTTCTTGTTATAGCAAGGAAGATGGTCATGTCAGAAGAGTGATGAAATATTTTGGAACAGATAATGGAATGATTGTGAATTGAATAGAAACTGCTGATACACAGCTGATATAAATCAAGGCCATTTCCTGAATTATGTCCTTTCTTTACTTGGGCAATGCTGTGTTCTAGATAGCAAACTTGATCAGATTATCCATAATGATAAATATATTGTGCTGTAAACCATACATTGTAAACATATTATAATGGTTTTCTTTCCTTAGGTCAAAATCAAAGCAGCCCAGTATCAGAAGAGTTGGCTTCTTCCAGAAGTACGTCAGCAGCATGGGCTATTCTTCCTATCTGTAAGTAAGAGGTGGTGTCCTGAAATCAGGAGAAAACAACATTTTCAGCATGGTGTTTTGTTCTTTTACACCTCCACCATGTTTCCCTTTGGGGTATAAAATTCTTTTTGAAAAAAGCAACATATAGACGTAATAGGAAGGGGCAAAGTGGTCAGAGAGCCCAAATAGCATTGGAAGAAAATACATCTAGATCCTGACTTGGTAGAAATGCCCAATGGATAGTCTCCCCCTCGCCTCCCTTTCTCAGCCTAACTTGCCTCATGTGATTATTGTGAAGAAACAAAATGGAAGGAGAGACCATCATGAGATTCTTGAGCAAAAGGCATAGAATACAAGCAACGAAGTCTTAGTCTTTAAGTCTGACTTAAAATGGAATAGGCATTCCAGCTGAATGTTTAAAATCTCACAATTTCTCTTAGTACTATTAGTAACAGCAGCAGCAGGAGCCTACTTCATGTGGCGCAACTGGCAACAGAGGAATATGAAAAGCATGAACTTTGACAACCCAGTGTATCTGAAAACCACAGAGGAAGATCTCTCTATAGATATAGGAAGACACAGCAGTACAGTTGGGCACACGTATCCAGCAGTAAGTGAACTCTTAACGTTTTCCAAAAGTCAGAGTTAAAACAGGCAATTCTACTTGGTACCCAAAATATAAAGAATGTTTTTTGGAAAAACCATGAAAAGCTTTTCATAGTTCATATGACATCTGAGTGGGGATCCCAACAACTGTTGTAGTCTGTCTTTATTCCAGGATATAGATCTTTAAAGATTAATCCACCTGGTTAAATCTCAAATAAGTCCTGAAGCTTGGGGTAGATTGTCAACAGCTATCTATACTGTCACTAAGAATCAACACTGACTTAATGGCCTATAATCAGTAAATTTCTAAATCCCAACCAGTTTCTGCAAAAAAATTGCTTTTTAAGTGAAGGCTTTAGGGCACCTAATCAACATATGTTTAAAGCTTAACAGTGGCACTTGATGTAAAACTATCAGACTGGAGCTTCAGCAGTTATTTCCTCAGCTCCACTCCTTGGTTAAAAGGATATATGGGGTGTGTCAATGAGAACTGATGACACAGACAAGCTTGTGTTCATATAGTTTGCAGGGATGGGGTAGAGGAGAGATTACTGATGACATGGGCCACATTTCACATTTGGAAGAAAGTGAGCAGAACATGCTGGATAGGAAATGCTTTTTCTGTGAAGATGTTGCAGCACTGGGTGGTGTGGTCAATTTGTTAAGCCACAATTGCATTTACAATGCAGTTTTTGCATGCTTTTGACTTCAAATGAAGGGATGATACATTACTGAAATGTAATGGGAGTCTTGGAGGTTTCAGGTTACCTTCAGCAATAAACAGCTGATCCCTAAACCTTACCTGCCTGAAATACAGGTGCATTCATCTGGGATATAACATTTCTTTTCTCTACAGATATCAGTTGTAAGCACAGAGGATGATTTATCATGAATCTAGTCTACACTTGCATTCTACACTTTTGCATGGTAGCCAGGCAGTGGCTGAAGAGATCCTTGATGAATGAAGGCACAGGTGGAACAAGTTCACAAAAAAAAACACTTTCATACAAAGTTGTAAAGATCTGTGTTCACTATCAACTTTTGATGGTTCTCACTGACCTGTAACCCTTGAATAAACTAAGTATTCCCACCACTGGCTATGTATAAAGCACTTTCCAAGAAGCCATATTATAGTAAGTGCTTCAGAAGTACTAGCTGTAAATAATTGTACAGGCCCAATTGTAAATCATCCGGGGAGGGGATAGTTTATTATGCACTTTGGAATAACATTTCAATGTAAATTATTGTATAATTTTTTTCAATGTTTGGAAAATGGCAATAGGAGAAAACGGGTTACTCAAGATTAATTGCCAAAAATTTGTAAACTAACTTTTGTATGAATTGTGAATTTGTCCTCCCTGAACCACCTACAGGGGTGTGCAGAGGACAACTGCTCTGTATCAGAAATCACTGTAAATTTCAACACTGAAATGAAAGAGACAAAACTCTGTATGATGACTTGACTCGTTCTTCTTAAGATCTCTTGGTACATGGGTGGAACTCCAGTTGAACTGATCTAAGCAACAAGGGAAAATTAAACTCCATTCCCATAAAGGACTCTGATATGATACTTAAAAGCCAAGTAGTAGATATGTCTAACTTCTTAAAGAAATGGCCTCCATATCACTAATCCAGTCAACAAACCTTATTTATATAGTGGTACCCTGTATGATGGTATTCAATTGCTTTGAAACACATCCAATTTGGTACTCAACACATTTTGACACAAAAATTATGTCATCTTACTCACTTGTTTGGTGCTCAATGCACAAGGAAGAACTTGTCATTGTTGGCTACCTTATGACTCATTACATTATTCCATATAGGAAAAATTTGGTACTCGTTTTTGTGTCTACCAGAACCAATTAACAATAGCAAAGGTGCCATGGTAAAGAGAAATTTGAAATCTTAACTTCAATAATCTCATTGTTATTAAGGTATCCATAAGGGATTGCCCAGAATTGCGTTTGACTTCAAATATAAAGGTGTTCTGCTATTTAGAGGATGCCTAGACTTTTAGTGTATGCGTTATCTGCCTGCTAACCTTTTTGGCAGGTTAACACAAAAATTCACTTACAGGATTTTGTCTTGTGAAAAACTTCCAACATAATACTTACAATGCTTTTAGAAGGTAGGCAAACAAGCAAATCTACTGAACATTGAGTGCTTGAGCTCAGTTAATATTTTTGCATAGAAGTTACAAAGAGCATAACTGAGCAAACAATTCCTGTAATAAAATACTGTAGTATAAACACATTTATCTTGCTCCAAACGGGTGAAAAGATAAGGTACTTACTTGATAGTAAAAGAGAGAGAGAAATCTCATTATTTTCCTTGGTGGTGTATAAATATTTTTTAGCCAAATTAATGTGGAGTTAATCCTAGGACATTGTGCATGGATATAAGGAGATGCATATATGATGAGCGAAGAGAGAAAAGGCGTTGACCCACTCAAACCAATAATTTTCTCAAACCTGATGCTTTCTAGATGTTCAGCCATTCTGACTAACGGTCCCCTAGCACTGCGGTTACCTAATTGGGTAATGAAATGTCTGCAAGAAAACAACCAGGCTCAGAGAACACTAAGGATCTTAACAGTCCCATGCTGACCATTGATGGAAACTGCATCTCATGGGCACCAGAATGAGGGAATTGCTCAAGGGGTGGTGCAGAAAGACATTTACCAGAAGACCCATCCAAGTAGCCAATAGGGAGATAATGGAAGAGTTAGTTTTTCTGGATTCAGTTGCTGGCACCCACATAATCTTAAGCCAGGTCTGCATATCCTTTTTCATCTTTTCCTTCATGTTTGGTACGTTGTAAAGCAGCAATCCCAAATCTAACTAACCCAGGAGAAATTTTTTTATTTCCTTTCACATTTAATTAAAATTTAAAATGGGCAGTCTCATTGTTCTCCAATCATACATTTAATGTTTTCAGCTACATTAAAATTTATAATTTGGTAAAAATCATCAAAGGATTTCTACCTTTAGTCAGGCTATCCTTCCCCAGCATGTAACCTAGGGTTGTTTAACGTTGGCAACTTTTAAAATTTGTGGACTTGCAACTCCAAAAACGTGGCTTGGAATTCAAGTTGGAAGTGGGCTCCCTGGGCTTCTAGTTTCTTACCAACTTTTGTTTAATTGAGCATTTTTTTTTTATAAAACTTACACTGGGAAATATTGTGCCTGTGGAATTATTTGATGATAGTGAATCTTTTTTTCAATTATATTGAATCTTTTCCTTAAAATAAGGAAAAGTGCCTTTTGAGCCAATATTTAAACTTCCATTAATTGTTAGAGTAGGTAATGTGCATCCCTCGTTCACAAAAATATTGAGTAGTTATTTCCAAAATAGTATGCATACATAGAAAATGCCATTCTATTGTGAAGTCTGCCTTGATTGAATTACAGTGTTTTAATTCCAATGAAAAATCTGGTATTTGTTTTATGTCTATAATTGAAAGGCGAGAGTGTGTATATTCAGTCAACTTGGTTTACTCTACAAAATAACAGAAAAGTGTTTAGAGAGGGCAAGGCATTGTAGGATTGCAAATCAGGTACTCTCTGCTTGTCTTTCTCTCCTCTAGCTTGAATTCTCTTCCTCAGCATGGTGTGCCATTAACACAAATATATGTGGGAAGGCAAGCCATGTTCCCCAGCAAGTAACCTAGGGCTGTCCAACCTTGGCAACGTTAAGATTTGTGGATTCCAAGTTCCAGAATTCCCCAGTTCAGATATTAAGTGGCTACAGCTGAATGGGGAAAAAAGGAGCATTGAGAACATAAGCAGTCATTCTCAAGGACTCTTTCATGCCGTGCATAGATTTCCTTTTGGCTTTTAAAAATCAGGCACCCCTGCTAATTCCTTTCTGAATGAAGCATTCATTCAGCTAAACCTACAGAAAAGCTATTGTCATATTTGCCTAAGTATAAGAAGCATATTTTGAGTCAACAAAGCCTTGCATGAGAAAGGGTTTTTAAAACTTGCTGTTTTGACACAAAAAATGAATAATCTGTGTTACAGATGTATATTTTCATGATGGTTGGTAAGTACAAGACTCTTAACCTTCAAAACTCTCTCTTGTCATGTATTCGTATCCCAGCATTAGGTAACAATTTCTTAGTCTGTCAGGAAATAAGAATTCCACGGTGTTAACTTTCAACCACTTCATACTGGTGTTTGATCTGCTGAAAGCATAAGCAGTAATGGCAAGATAAAAGCAAAGACTCCTTCAAACCCAGTTTAACTCCTTTGACTACACAGACTTTGGTAGTAGAAGTATTTTCCTTTTTCCCAATTCTTTTTCAACTCCCAATCTAGCCTATGGACTCTCATCCAAGTATTCACCAGTCCAACCCTGCATTAGTTGGCCAAAATTAAAAAAAAAAAAAAAAGTGGAAATATTCTAAATTCAAGCATTACACTGAAATTCTTTGGCCTTACAAGATTGTATTACCTGCCTTAAAACAGGACTGTTTGCAGTGTTTTTTATCAATAGATTTCTTCTAATTTATATTCCTAGAAACAAGTGTACGAACGCTCTATGCCAGATTTAGAAAACATACACCTTTGAGCCAACCCAAAATGCTGCAGGATAAAACATGTCTCCAAAGTCTATGAGAGGTGACTAATATGTGCTTTGATCCTTCCAGTCCAATAATAAGGATATAGTACCTTTTGGGACAGAAAACCATCGGACTTTTAAGCAACGTATATACTGGTATATAGCTTTTCGCTATACAAAGTTTTTAATCCTGCTTTTATTTTTACAAATAACTCAAGGTGATGACCATACCTAATGCTCCTTCCTCCCATTTTCTCCACAACCACCACCCTGTGAGGTGGGTTGGGGTGAGAGTGAGTGACTGGCTGGCTTTCATACCTAAGGCAGGACTAGTACTCACCATCTCCTCTTGATTGGCCCCAAGTAACTCAGCTGTCTTTCATGCTCAAGGTGGAACTAGAACTTACAATTCCCCAATTTTGGAGAGTAGTGCAGAAGCAACTACCTGTTCCCAGCATTTGACTGTGATCCCACAAATAGATGAGGCACCCTGCAAAACAGTCAACAGCTGTGATGTGTTTGTGTGTTGGGACAGGGAGGATATATTTGCTAGCTTTACAAATACGAGTTATGTAATGTGCTCCCTCTGGAGTTGTGCTCAAATCTCACTCTCTCCTTTTTATGAACAGAACCCAGACCTTCTTCTTTAACTGGTTTTTTTTTTAGTTTAAATCAAAGATTGTGTGAACTGGGTTTAATCAGATCTTAATTGTCTAAGCTTTATCACTTACACAAGTCTAGCCGCCTCAAATTTAAGTTGAATAAATACGAACAGCGGGCAAGATACTTAGTAGAGGGTAGCATTCAGCTCCTCCCTGGGTGAACAGTCGCCTGCAGCAAATTAATTTCTCGTCACAGAATGATCCAGATGGCATGTTCTAGGTGGATAGTTTCATTGGTCGTTCCAAAGGAAAATGAGCTTGAAAGATACAGAACTAACACTGGAGATTCAACAGATGTTTGTTTAACTCTGTACCCTTCTAGGTTTCACACCACCCAGCCACAGGCAGGGGTACCTAGAATAAGGCAAAGACCACTAGAGAGAGTAAAACACACCCACCTGAATTTAAGACTATTTTGCATTTAGCATGAGATTAAAAAGCTGGGAGCCAGATCATTGACTTAACATTAACGTAAAGCCACAATGTTTCTGTGTGGTGTTGCAGGATAAATGGATTTTCATCTTTCTCGCCATCTATTTATTATTGTCACTAGTACTATCAGTCAGCAGTGTGTCCCGAAATACCTAAAGTACCTTATTTGTTAGTTTGTGGCTAAGACCATTTCGTTGAAGGAGTGATGAGTAAGCAAGGTCAGGAAGACACTATTATTTATTTATTTATTTATTTATTTATTTATTTGATTTGCCAATTGTTTACAAGATAATAAGTATAAGTGTATACATAGTTGTGAATACATGAAATGGGTACATATATGAAAAATAAAAGAATAAGAGAAACAATAGGACAGGGACGGTAGGCACGTTGGTGCGCTTATGCACGCCCCCTACAGACCTCTTAGGAAAGGGGTGAGGTCAATAGTAGACAGTCTAAGGTTAAAGTTTTTGGGGTTTGGGGAAGAAACTACAGAGTCAGGTAGAGTATTCCAGACATTGACCACTCTATTGCTGAAGTCGTATTTCCTGCAATCAAGTTTGGTGCGGTTTACTTTGAGTTTGTATCTATTGTGTGCTCTTGTGTTGTTATGGTTGAAGCTGAAGTATTCA